CGCGCTGCGACTTCCCCCGGCTCTGCCTCGGCTTCGTGCGGGCGCACTGCTCCGGCGACAGCGCGCGCGCGCCCAGGGCCTGCCACGTGCACTGCGGCGGCGACGACTGGCTCGAGGCGCCGTCGCTCGCGGCGGCGCTCGAGGGCGACGCCGCCGTGGCGCGCCTCGGCGCGGGCGGCGCGCTCGTCGAGGGCGGCGGCGCCGGGTCCGACGTCGTCGCCGTCGTCGGCTCCGGCGGCGCCGACGCCTTCGTCGACGAGTGCCACGCGGACCCCCTCGGCGCGTCGGGCGCCTTCGCGCACCTCGGGCGCCTCGGCGACCTCGCGGGCGACCACGCGGCGGCCGACGCGCGCGACACCGTCGCGGCGTTCGCGTTCGAAGAGGGCGCGGGCCCGGCCGCGGTCGTCGGCGCGCCGACGCTGCGCCTGAAGCTCCGGGCCGCCGGCGGCGGCGCCGCCTGCGGGCGGGTCCACGCGCGGCTCTGCGTCGTGTCCGGCGACTCGTCGGAGCGCGTCGCGGCCGGCGTCGCGGCGGTTTGTGCTGATGGCACTGCAGACGTCGAGCTGTCCTTCGCCGCGCGGACGCTGAAGCGCGGGGAGACCTGGCGCGTCGTCCTCCACCGCTGGGACTGGCCCCTCTTCCCGCCGCCGCCGGGCGGTTCCGGCGACCCGCTCGCGCCCCTCGAGGTGCTCGCGGGGTCGACGGTGTCGCTGCCGCGGCCGTCGCGCGCCGCGGACCTCGGCGCGCCGCCGCCGCCCGAGTTCCGGCCGCCGAGCGACACGGCGAAGCTCGCCGCGCGCACGGACAAGCCGCCCGCCCGCGCGCGCGCGCGCGTCGCCGACGGCCGGAAGACGGCGAAGCCGAGCCTCGACGACAGCAACAACGGCCTGGGGGTCCGCGCGGCCGTCGCCGTCCAGGACGACTACGGGTCCCGCAAGCTCGCGCCCTACGGCTCCGAGGCCCGCTACCTCGAGCACGGCGAGTCGACCTTCGAGCGCGTGCGCCTCGCCTTCGACGGCCGGTCCCACGTCCACGTCGCGTCGCGCGCCGCGTGGCACGCTGTGTGGAAATCAACCACTGGTTTGGGGGGTCCCCACCAAACTTCAGAACTCTCTATCTCGGTCAAATCGACGTCGATTCGGCTGATTTTTGGACGAATCGATTGCTCTCGTCGAGTTCTCGAAGCACATCGGAAAGCTTTGCGTCGAAACGGTCGCATACGCGCACATTGAAGTCGGGTTGAAGATTTGATTTCCACACAGGTGGCACGGCGCGGGCGACGCGCGCGACTTCGCGGCCCTCGGCGCGTCCGTCCACGTCACGTCCGTCCTCGAGGTGACGCCGACGGCCTACGCGCTCACGCACCGCCTCACGGCCAAGGTCGCGCCGCGCGGCACGCTCACGACGGACCAGCTCGCGCGCTACAACGTGCACTTGGACGGCGAGGCCACGGCCGGCGAGGCCGTCTTCCACAAGGAGTGGACGGCGACGCTGCCCCGGGCCGACTAGGGAGTCACCGGCCCCCGCCCGAGACACCCTTTCCCCCCCTGAACATGCTCGCGCCCGACGCCGCGCCGCGGGACGCGGCGCGCCGGCCTCCTCGGGCCGCCGCCGCCGCCCCCCGCGCCGCGCCGCGGCCACACGACGCTCGCTCGAACATGCTCGACCGCCCGACACCGCCCGGGCGCCCGGCCGCGCCTCCGCTTACTCGGAGCCGCGGCCGCGCGCCCGGCCCGCGCCGCGGCGCCCTCGAAAGGGGCCCGCGCCGCGCCGCGCCGCGACGACCGCTCGCCACCAAGCGTGCAGCGGTACTCCTCCGTATAACAGACACCCCAAGCACGCCTGCTACGCACGAGACAACAGTCGCGCTCGCCAGGTGCCCGCACTTCGGGGCCGGCGCGCCCTCAAGTGCGCAAGTAAGTGCGCCCGGGCCCTGACTCGGAGGAGCTCGAGCCTTCAATACTTGGGTAACCAGGGTCAACCTCAGCCTGCGTTATCAGCGGACGATGGTGGTGCACTGGGCGCGGTGGGGCTGCGCCTTCGTCGCGCTCGTCGCCGTCGCGGACGACGTGCGCTTCGAGCGCGACGTCGACGCCTGGTGGCACTCCGACGTGGCGCCGACTTTCTCGACGCTCGAGCGGGCCGTGGGCCGCCACCTGCGCGACCCCGAGGACTTTGACGCCTTCTGGCGCGCG